CGGCGGAAAAGGAGAGAAGACGGGAAGGCTGCGTTTAGTAAAAGGGGTAAGATGCAGTTTCTTAGAACAAATTTTTAGGGGGGTCGTATGTATGTTCTCTCAGCACATGAGGGCAGTGCTGTTTTCTTTTAGGGGGGTCGAGTGTTAGCGGGAGAGAAAAGGAGAGGAGAGAAGACAAATGCTGCATTTAGCACGTTAAAGGGGTGAGATGCAGTCCTTAGAACAAATTTTAGGGGGGTCGTATGTATGTTTTTCTCAGCACATAAGGACAGTGCTGTTTTTTTTTAGGGGGGTCGATTGTAATATTCAGAAATTTCAGAGTAATTTCAAATGCCCCGCCATTAGCGATACTGAGCGTTCAAGGTCATCTGAGGGGAGAGAGCGCTTCCTGCTCGTAGCGAGAGATTGCGGAACTAGGCCTATATGATATTAAATGTAATTTACCGAATTAATAATGATGCGATTCATGAAGTAAGGAACTATTATTGAATTTGAAATTATTATAGATCGTTTATCAGTCTGAATAATGTTACGGGTGTCCCAAGGAGTTATTAGTTAGGCGGAAAATATGTCACGTAGGCCCAAGCTAACGCCTTGAGGAGACGCGACGCTGGCTAGGTCTCAGTCGCGGGGAGGATTCATACAAAACAAGACGTCCCTGCGCGTCTGGCACAGAAATAGTCACGTGGCCTAGTCACCTGTGCTGCGCTATTGCAGTATAACAAGTAAGTCTCATTCGATCTCAGACAGGGTTAGATAGGGCAGTGGTAAAGTAAACTAGAGCTAACAGTGAGTTCATTTCAGGGTTTCCGTCAGAACCCACTTGACTGGAGTTGACCGGAGTTGACCGGAGTTTGACTGCGAGAGATTGACTGCCGTTTGAGACTGCCGTTGATGATTGAGGGTGGCGTTTGTCGCCATTGGACCGATCAGAGTAGGCCTGTCACTGTTTTAGCGGGGTACCAAAGGATCTCTTGAGGGAATCTAGCCGTCCACCCGGACGGCTCTCAACACGTCGGCTCACAACACCACATGTCCCGAGCCGCTTGTGAAACCCTCTTGCTAACGGGAAGCTAAAGCTCCTCTCAACTGCACAAGGTCTGATTGGCTCACTCTCTTCCTGCCCATGGACGCACTGGGAGTACACTGAGGCTATCTGAGTATATTAATGGTCACACACTGAGACCGTGAGTCTAGGACTCTAGGAGATACCTAGAGGAACATTTTACCTTCCTTATTACGGGTGTAGTTAACACCATTCCTCAGACTGATATTATCTTGACGTGTGTAGTTTAATATTTCTTAAATAATTTTGATAGTAGTGTTTTTTTTTAATGTTTGTGTCATTAAGTGGAACCAGAGTGATACTGTGAATTGATTCTTTTAGTGCATCTGATTGTTCTTCATAATTCTGATCTCAAGTATAACCTTGTTCCCCAGAGTAGTGTTTTAAGTTTAAGTTAAGAGGTGCGCATATTGGTGTACCATTATTTGATTGTGGTTGTAGTGTTGGAGGGAATATAAGTGTCTAAATTTTACAGTGTGTCTCATTCATCCCAGTCACAGACGCTATCCTTCCACGGGTCACGGACAATTCATTTTGTGTAGTAGATTTAAGTGTTCTTGTGCTGGTTCGGGATTTTTCTCAAAGGGGCGCTTCCACTGCCATTACCATCTATTAAATTTTAATAAACCCCAAGTCAAGTGAGAAATTAAAGTCCAGTAAATTCCGACCGGTTACATATATATATATATATATATATATATATATATATATATATATATATATATATATATATATATATATATATATATATATATATATATATATATATAGTTTCTCACTATTGATCTTTTTTTCTCTTTATTCATCGTAAATTCCGACGGTTATATATATATATATATATATGTAACAACATATATATATATATATATAGCATATATATATATATATATATATATATATATATATATATATATATATATATACCCATATATATATATATATATATATATATATAGCATATATATATATATTATATATATATATTATATATATATATTATATATATATATTTCATATATCCACAATGAAAACGTGGATAAGATAAATCTTGATAAAATCCTGCGGGGAAGATGGAAACAGCGAGATTACCTTAGCTTTTAGATCTTTATTCAAGGCGTCTTGAATAAAGGCAGAAACTAGGCTCACGTTATTCCATCTTCCATATTAATTTATCAGATATATATATATATATATATATATATATATATATATATATATATATATATATATATATATATATATATATATATATATATATATATATATATATATATATATATATATATATATATATATATCTGGTTGTGTGGTGAATTTTCAAGGATACAGATGCTATACCTGTACAGTACATGCAATTCAAGGGTCCAACCTGCCTTGTGTTCAACAAAGTGAAACAGTTAATATGCACCGTATCCAAGAACAACCACAATTCATGAAATGGTACCTACATAATTCTTGCACACAGTCACAAAACTGTTTCTGAGTACTAAGGGGATGGAACAGGGTTACCTTCCGTAAACTGCCACGCGTGGACCCACTGCGGGTGAGGCTGCTGCTGCTTCCACTGCTTCCCACCACATTCCCGTCACTACCGACATTCCCACCACCACCACCATCTGTCGGGCCCCCACTGTCACTGAGCTGAAACAATGAACATCAATCAACACAAGTGGTACCATACACCCAGTTAATCAATACAACTTGAGCCATGTATTTAAGCAGATATTTCACTAGCATCAGTAGAGTGCAACTTGCTCTATACAGTACATTTGTATGGTCAGTTAATATTTCATCCAGGGGTGGGATAATTCCTATTGTCTATTTGAAATTAGTATGTTGTGATGACATGTATTAACAGGGAGAGCACCATATGCTAAGAGCAAGAGCAAAAACTATAAAAACATTTTACACCTAGACATCTTATGTCGTAGGGAAGACATTCTACTACTAACCGCTTGTGTACGGATCCAGTCTTTGCTGAATAAAATGGTTCGGCATCAGCCAAATAAGATATTAAAGTGGTATTCCATAGCAAGGGGGTTAGGTGAATCTACTAACCAAACAATCACTTCATATTTTAATGTACGTACTGTACAATACTCTGGTATTGTACAGTACGTACATTAAAATATGCATAATAAAAAATAAAAAATAGAAGAATGCAGTGTTTAACTGCCAACTGGCTCGACAGATGACGTTACGTCTTAAGAATGAGAGAAACCTACAACGTGGACTCACTCAATGTTTATTGATTGATATGGTCAAAACCTGTAAAGAATGAGACACTTGTTAACTAATGATTACATTCTATTACTGTACCTGTATACATTATACATCTGTTAGTAAATACTCTATCCAAATTGCTTTACGCTATGCACATAATATGTAGTTCACAACATTTCACCATAATACCAACAATCACAGAATTCTTTCACTCACATGTGCAGGCTTATAGCTCCACTTAACAGCTAGTATCGCTAATGTGTACAGTCAAAGGGAGTTTGGCGGATACTGCCAGCCACAGGCATCCAGAGCCCTATATATAATCTTAACACACAAAAACTTGTTGTGCATCCACCCATCTGGCGAGGTCACAGGTTGCGCAACAAGCATCTTTGAGGCAACGCATAAAGCTCCAATACTCGAGACGGCTTTTCTCTTTGAAGGTAGGAAAGCATATGTCTCGGGAGTGTAAGGTTGACATAACTCTGTCTAGCACTTCCCATGGTTCCGATCTCTTTATATCTGCAGACTGTGATGGGATAACCTAATTTTTGCCAATACTGTAGTTGCCTCATTTTTGAGAGTGGTCGTATCACCTTGGTTTCTTCCGTGGCTCCCTTTTTCCCTCATCGGTTGATCCTCCGCCCGATGAGGTCGTGCGTCAGCTTCAAATTTGCTCTGTTGGGTCTTCTTGACAGGGCCATTGCCCTTCCTTGTAGCTGCAGGCATGACTACACGAACTCTTCAATGTAGCTTTTCCAGCGCACTCCTCCATGGTCGCTGGTTTCTGGGTTTCGGCTAGTTCCTGGTTGGTGTTAGTCATGCCTATCGCTAACAGTTCGAACACCTTTCAGTTCATCTTGCTCTTCCGTCGTGTGGCCAGCAAGTGATTGTCCATCATTTTCCATATTTAGATCGATTTCTTGTGGCCACTCATTATTTTTTAAGTCCACCATTTCATTCAGTTGGGTGCTGTCCTTTGTGATATGTGGTGGTATATGGGCACAGTTCAGCGTGTCCTGGCAACAGCAGCAAGTACACTGATGTGTCTGGGTACTGGTACACGTGCACACTTCCACTGTGCCTTGGGGCTTGTTAAAAGCACACACTTCTGCTGTGCCTTGGGTTGTTACAAGCACACACTTCTGCTGTGCCTTGGGGCTTGTTACAAGCACACACTTCTGCTGTGCCTTGGGGTTGTTACAAGCACACACTTCTGCTGTGCCTTGGGGTTGTTACAAGCACACACTTCTGCTGTGCCTTGGGGTTGTTACAAGCACACACTTCTGCTGTGCCTTGGTTTTACAAGCACACACTTGCTGTGCCTTGGGGTTGTTACAAGCACACACTTCTGCTGTGCCTTGGGTTGTTACAAGCACACTTGCTGTGCCTTGGGGTTGTTAAAGCACACACTCTGCTGTGCAGTTGTTACAAGCACACTCGCCTGGGGTTGTTAAGTGCACACTTCTGCTGTGCCTTGGGTTGTTACAAGTGCACACTTGCTGTGCCTTGGGGTTGTTACAAGTGCACACTTCCGCCTGGGTGCTATGCACACTTGCTGTGCCTGTTACAAGTGCACACTCGCTGTGCCTTGGGTTTAAAAGCACACTCGCTGTGCCTTGGGGTTGTTAAAGTGCACACTTGCTGTGCCTACAAGTGCACACTCCGCTGTGCCTGGGGGTCGTTACAAGTGCACACTTCTGCTGTGCCTTGGGGTTGTTACAAGCGCACACTTCTGGTGCCTGGGGGTTGTTACAAGCACACACTCTGCTGTGCCTGGGGTCGTTACAAGTGCACACTTCTACTGTGCCTTGGGGGTCGTTACAGCACACTTGCTGCCTTGGGGTCGTTACAAGTGCACACCTCACTGTGCCTTGGTTGTTACAAGTGCACACCTGCTGTGCCTTGGGGGTTGTTACAAGTGCACACTTCTACTGTGCCTTGGGGTTACACACACCTCCACTGTGCCTTGGGGTTGTTACAAGTGCACAATTCTGCTGTGCCTTGGGTTGTTACAAGTGCACACTTCTCCTGTGCCTTGGGTTGTTACAAGTGCACACCTCTACTGTGCCTTGGGGTTGACAAGTGCACAATTTGCTGTGCCTTCGGGGTTGTTACAAGTGCACATTCTGCTGTGCCTTGGGGGTTGTTACAAGTGCACACCTCACTGTGCCCTTGTTACAAGTGCACACCTCCTGTGCCTTGGGGTTGTTACAAGTGCACCTGGCTGCCTTGGGGTTGTTACAAGCACACACTTCTCCTGTGCCTTGGGGTTGTTACAAGCACACACTTCTGCTGTGCCCTGGGGGTTGTTAGAAGTGCACACTCTGCTGTGCCTTGGGGGTTGTTACAAGCGCACACTTCTGCTGTGCCTTGGGGGTTGTTACAAGTGCACACTTCCACTGTGCCTTGGGGGTTACAAGTGCACACTCTGCTGTGCCTTGGGTTGACAAGTGCACACTTCTCCTGTGCCTTGGTTGTTACAAGTGCACACTTCTACTGTGCCTTTGGGGTTGCTACAAGCACACTTCTCTGCCTTGTTGAAAGTGCACACTTGCTGTGCCTTGGGGGTTGTTACAAGTGCTCACTTCTGCTGTGCCTTGGGGTTGTTACACACACACTTCTGCTGTGCCTTGGTTGTTACAAGTGCTCACTTCTGCTGTGCCTTGGGGTTGTTACAAGCACACACTTCTGCTGTGCCTTGGGGGTTACAAGCACACACTTCTGCTGTGCCTTGGGGTTACAAGCACACACTTCTGCTGTGCCTTGGGGGTTGTTACAAGCACACACCTCTGCTGTGCCTTTGGGGGTTGTTACAAGCACACACTTCTGCTGTGCCTTGGGGTTGTTACAAGCACACACTTCTGCTGTGCCTTGGGGGTTGTTACAAGTGCACACTTCCGCTGTGCCTTGGGGGTTGTTACAAGCACACTTCTGCTTAGCCTTGGGGTTGTTACAAGCACACACTTCTGCTGTGCCTTGGGGTCGTTACAAGCGCACACTTCTGCTGTGCCTTGGGTTGTAACAAGCACACACTTCTGCTGTGCCTGGGGTTGTAACAAGCACACACTTCTGCTGTGCCTTGGGGTGCGTTAAAGCGCACACTTCTGCTGTGCCTTGGGGTTGTAAAAGCACACACTCTGCTGTGCCTTGGGGTTGTTACAAGCACACACTTCTGCTGTGCCTGGGGTTGTTACAAGCACACACTTCTGCTGTGCCTTGGGGTTGTTACAAGCGCACACTTCTGCTGTGCCTTGGTGGTTGTTACAAGCACACACTTCTGCTGTGCCTTGGGGTTGTTACAAGTGCACACTTCCACTGTGCCTTGGGGGTTGTTACATGCACACCCTGCTGTGCCTTGGGGTTGTTACACACACACTTGCGTGCCTTGGGGTTGTTACAAGTGCACACTTCCACTGTGCCTTGGGGTTGTAACAAGCACACACTTCTGCTGTGCCTTGGGGTTGTTACACACACTCTGCTGTGCCTTGGGGCACACACTTGCTGTGCCTTGGGGTTGTTACAAGCACACCTTCTGCTGTGCCTTGGGGTTGTTACAGCACACACTTCTGCTGTGCCTTGGGGGTTGTTACAAGTGCACACTTCCACTGTGCCTGGGGTTGTTACAAGTGCACACTCCGCCTTGGGTTAGCCACTCTGTGCCTGGGGTTGTTGCGCACACCTCCGCTGTGCCTTGGGCAAGCGCACACTTCCACTGTGCCTTGGGGTTGTTGCTACAAGTGCACACTCTACTGTGCCTTGGGGGTTGTTACAAGCACACCTTCCACTGTGCCTTGGGGTTGTTACAAGTGCACACTTCTGCTGTGCCTTGGGTTGTTACAAGCACACACTTCTGCTGTGCTTGGGGTTGTTACAAGCACACACTTCTGCTGTGCCTTGGGGTTGTTACAAGCACACACTTCTGCTGTGCCTTGGGGACAAACACACACTTCTGCTGTGCCTGGGGTTGTTACAAGCACACACTTGCTGTGCCTTGGGGTTGTTACAAGCGCACACTTCTGCTGTGCCTGGGGTTGTTACAAGCACACACTTCTGCTGTGCCTTGGGGGTTGTTACAAGTGCACACTTGCTGTGCCTTGGTTGTTACAAGTGCACACCGCTGTGCCTTGGGGTTGTTACAAGCACACTTGCTGTGCCTTGGGGTTGTTACAAGCGCACACTTCCGCTGTGCCTTGGGTTGCCATAAGCCACACTTCCACTGTGCCTTGGGGTTGTTACATGCACACTCTACTGTGCCTTGGGGTTGTTACAAGCGCACACCCACTGTGCCTTGGGGTGTTACAAGCACACACTTCGCTGCCTTGGGGGTTGTTACAAGCGCACACTCTGCTGTGCCTTGGGGGTTGTTACAAGCACACACTTCTGCTGTGCCTTGGGTACAAGTGCACACTTCCACT